TAAAACAAAGTTATTCTTTAATTTCAAATGCTTTTATTTGCTTTTAGTTTTTATGAATATGGACAATATTTTCTGAAAGCAAAAAAATTTTTTTTGATGAAAAAGGAATTTTTAATACAATTATTTCTTATTTCTTTAATTATAATAGATTTTACATTTAAGTTGTTAAAATATTATAAAATTAGTTAAAAGCCGCATCGGCTTTCCTAAGTGTCCTTATGAGATAGATCTTTTTAGTGCGTTGTAAATTATATCATTTTGACTAATCAGAAGATCCGCAGTAATTAAGAAATGTAATTTTCTGCTTATAACCAGGCTGTAATTATAAAGTACGGAAGACCAACCAGAATATAATTAAGTTGCGTTATTTGAATTAAGCATTGTTCTCGGCTGTTAAGGCCTTTACTTTTGCGAAACACGTTTGAAGAAGTTAATTTGATTTTTCAATTTCAACTGAGAAGGGTACCTACAAGTATCAGTATCATCTTATGAAATTTATATGATCTTATTTTTATATTAATCTCAGTTATGACATTTTTCCATAAATGAAATATCAAAATTAATAATAAAATGAATGCAAATACAAATAACAGTAAAATGTAATAAATGTACATAAAATTATAGTATTTTATGTACAGTTCTGATAAAATTTCTTAAGAAAAGGTACCTATAAATTAATTAGATACCTTTCTTAGGAAATATGAAATTTAATGTCACTCTTAACAGTCTTATTTTAATTTCTTTATAATATATTTTCCATAAAGCATCATAAATGTAAAGGTGAAAGCTAAGTACAAAAAAAAAAAAAAAAAATTAGACCGCTGAAAGTTTTTGTTAAAAATAACGAGGTAAATAATTTGTTCACGTAAATGTAAATTATTTCACTTTTCTCCTTCCGTAGAACAAATTAGCCTCATGGAATTCGTAAATATTTCATTCATCACCTGTCAAGAGACGCAAAAGTTTATGACCTGCTTTGTTTTATTTTCAAATTACATCTTTTTGCCACAAAAGCTAAGTTAAGTTTGGTTCAAAATATTTTAAATAAACATAATTTGATTTTCTTAAAATAAGTTTTGAAAAAATGATAATTGATATTTAAAAGAATTTCAAAGTGAGATTTCCAGTTTTAAAAAAAAAAAAAAAAAAATTAACGGTCAATTTTGCTAACTCAAAAAAAACTAGATATTTAACGAAAATTTTGGACATGCTAGAAGCGATTAAAAAATGGAAAAATACCCAAAAAATACTTTGATCTTTCCTTTTAATAATAAACATTTAGACGATCAAATTTTGTTTTCGTCAAGTTTGGCGTCTTTTTCATCATGCTATACTCTTTTTTTAGCGATCTCGTGGAGGTACCTATGTTAACCTATTTATGATTTAAAAAAAAAAAAAAAAAAAAAAAATTGTATATATTACATGCACAATAAATAAAAATTCAAAGAAACAACTTGCTTTCGTTGTTCTGAAAATTAATAGGAAAATATCAAGATCAACCAGCGTTAGTTTTTGTGGGCCGATAGCAAATAATACGTAAAAAGGTTTCCAATTTGAATGTTTTGCTAGATTCATTAATTCATTTGTATTTTAGCATTCAAAGAATGCCAGAAAATTCAAATGACATATTTAACCAGTTTTTGTATATTTGATAGAGATTCAAATTTTGAAAACTAATTGCTAATTACATTTTTCTCAATATATGACCTTACTAAATTTAAATATAAAATTTTTTCATGAAAGAGCACAGCTGTTTTGAAGTTTCCTATAGCCCCACTGAACTTAATAAAGTCAATTCAGGTTTGCTATGGTAAAAATTTTCTATCCCAAGTAAAAATCACAAAAATGGCAAAAGCTATTTTGTCACAGTTTATTTTCTCTGAAAAAATGGATTTTCATGATTTTATAATGGTAAAGTAGTCAAAAAGGACATTTATCATCACCTAAACGAATATCAAGGAAAGTTTTGATTTGAACCCCCCTGAAACTAGGTATTTTCTGAAAGCAAAGGATATGTTCTTTCATTTAAAAGTAAAATTGGCTGGTGTAAATGAAAAGGTTTTTTTTTCAGGGAGTAAAACGTGAAAAAAAAAAAAAAAAAAAAATAGTGAAAATTTTGCATTTTTTCTAGTTCTAAACAAAAATTTTCCCTATTAATGAGAAATTAACTATTTTTTTTTTTTTTGGAAAATCAGAAAGCCACATCATAATCAAACTATTTCAGGCATAAAATTGAGAGTTTTGAAGGAAATCAAAATTCCTAGGTGGTCAAAATGCAACCAAGTCCATTGGTAATCTTCAATTATATGACTACCAGAGGTTAAAAAAATTACACCCAGCCACAGAAATCTTTAGTAAAAGGCAAAAGATTTATCTGCAATTCCTGCCCACCAGAAACCAAAAGTTTTTGTTTTTCCAAAAAATAGCAGCGATAAGGAAAATTAAGCCAAATTGACTGACATTGCCAGCCAGCAATAAATGTTTAGAACAAGTTGTCACCACTCCCAGATAAGAGCAAAAAGTGAAAAAAAAAAAAAAAAAAAAAAAATCAATATTGGTAGGGCTTGATATACATGTTTGAACAATGGCTTTATGTGTTTTGTTTTTAACACCACGTGACCCAGGTGATGACAACACTTAGCAGACACCCTTTTTTTTTTTTTCTCTCCGCATGTATTTCATATTTCCCATCACTGGGCCCTTTAGCCATTCCTTTTATTCAATGATGTTCACACCAAATTAAAGAGAAAGGGATGAAGTTTGAATGATTATTTTGAAGTGAAAATAATTTTTTTTTTTTTTTCATGAAAAAAAAAAAAATAAAAAAAAAAAATACTTTTTCTCAGAAAATTGGGCATAATTTCTTAATGCTAACTGCTGAGTGACATTTTCCACAGCCAAATTGAAGATTAATTACCAGTGAATAATTCCATGTGCAAACAATAGCTGTCTGGATCCTATAACGTTGCCCAAAAAGGTCCAGAAGTCTACTGATTAATCGAAAACTTGTGCATAATTGTGTTTTTCATGGTCAGTTTCCATTATTTCATCTTGATGTTGTCATTTCCAGACAGCCAAGTCATCATAGATTCAGGAAAACAGTTTGGCACAGGCTTGCTTTAAGAACTTTACATTCTATGAGGTGTTTAAAATGTTACTGACGAATGGCATTTTTCGCCGAATATTTCGTTCACGCACCATGTTGGATTTTCCTATATGACAAAAACAAGGGTTTTAAACAGCCGTGAGAGCTAAACTTGCCCTGGATGAACCTACATGAAAGTTGCAAGAGAGCACATTTAAAAGGAAAATAAAGAGCTGAACATGTGGAATACTGGAACAGTTATTTTTGCAAGTCTCTAAGAGTTCAAAAGAAAGAGTATACTCAATTTAGCTTGAGAAAAAAAGAAAATGTTTTAAACCAACAATGAAGAACTTGCAAAATTTTTTATAGTAATTTTCCATTTGTTTGCTCAGAAATTGGCAGTAAAAACTGATTCTATATTTAGAACTAATATTGTGTGCATATATATATATATATATATATATATATATATATATATAAAGTTGTAGCCTGTTTGTTATTGAACTCCTCCAAGGGTTTTGAAGATAGACCCTCCCCACTATATAGGAGAAAGCCAGAAGATGGAGGTCACATCAGCAAAATCAAAATGAGACAACATGGATGTGAAGTTGAGAAAATAAAAACAATCACTGGATAGTGCCTTACAATACATATTCCTTGCGACAATTCAATTGTCATATCAATGCTGAAATCTGCTAATCAATTCATTCAATCAAGTATTGCATCAAATACATATTCAAAGGGTCAGATCAAGCTGTTTTTGAACAAAAAAAAAAAAAAAAATAAAAAATAAAATAAAAAAATAAAATTTTCCCCTATGATTTCAATTAAGTTAAAATTTGAACACGTAAATGACACCTATCTAAAATATAGGAGAAAGCCAGAAGATAGGTCACATCAGCAAGATCAGGAGTAATATTGAAATGCATATTTTTTCTCCACAAATTATAACAATGATTTAAAAATCAGTCATTTTCTTACAAAAAAGTGTGACACGCATCAAGACGTGCATAATTTGGCTAGTGTATACATAAAATCTTGTTTGCAATAGAAGGTAGGATTTTTTAATATATAGAGAATTAACCAAATTTATTCAGAATTAAAGCCATTTTTTTTTTTAAATTACAGCAAAATTTTAGTTTAAAATAGTATGGTTTTTATTTAGATATTTTTATCACGTTTTTTTTAGTGGATACTCATAATTGAGATGACAACCATTTATTTATTAAACAGTATATTTATTATTTAATTATTTTTGTCTATGGACCTAAATATTCAAAAAATCTTACAAATATTCAGGATGTTAGACAAAAATATACTGTTTAATAAATGAATGGAACATCTATTCAAATATGAGTAGACACTAAAAATAATGTTTAAAGTGCTAAAAGTCTGCTGGACTAATACATAAATGTCCATTACCTTAAAATGTGTGTGTGATAAAATAGATTTGCTAATTATTTTTGGAACAAAGTATAATTTTTTTTAAAGTTCCTCCATAAATTAGCACTGAATATTTACAAACCAAAGCAACTTCTTTAGTTACATAGATCTAAGTTTTAAAACTGACAATCTGACAGAACTATAAAGTATGGATATTCAAAGAAATTAGGATGCATATTTCTTACATGATAATCATTATGAAGCTGAAATGAAAAACAGTTTTAAGTAGATCTGTAAAATCTGTTTCTATTTCCAATATTTTAGAAGAGTTATTTCAGCCATACAAATGTATTTGTTTAAAGAAAATGATTGGCATAAAAACTGTTCTTAAGCCATTTCACAATAACTTAATTTGCAACATAAAACACGAAGTGATCAGAAACAGTAACCAATTTCAATAGAATACTGAAAAACTGTTCAGTTATTTTTTTTTTTTTGACAAAACACCAAAAATTAAACTTAGAAACTTTACCTCCACTTTATCATCAACTTTATACTCCAATTTTGGTGGTGTCTCTTTTGGAGGTAGCCTGACATCAGAAAACTTAATCCTTTTCTCTGGTAAGTTGCTGTAATAATTAAAAAACAGAAAAAGTACATAAAGATTTTTAATATAGATCTACCATAATTCAGAAATGTTATGCTACTTATACATGAACAAGTTAAACATTCTACATTAACTTTTCAACTGATGACATCTGAACTGTTTTCACTTAAATCATTAACAAGCATTTCATTCATAATTAAATGCATATAAACAAAAAAATATCTTTAAAATTATTTTAGTATTCAAAATATCCTCCCATTAAATATTTTGCAAATAATTTTTTTTATACTCAAGGCTAAATGCTGTACTATAAATTTCAGTTTGAATATCTGGAGATAAAATATTAAACAATAGCATCAACATAATATCAATTACAAAAAAAACAGTTGACATTTCTATCTCTCATGCATCACTAAATTTCAATATTCTAAGATCATCAGTATAATAACAGTTTGCTATCACCAATATTTCAACTCCCTATAGAAGATGAACAGCACATGCACATCAAATACAGTTACTGGCTCCCAAAGAAACTGACAGGAAAAAAATAAAATTGCAACATGTATTTCAATACGAACACAGCTTCCAAAAGAAGGGTGTGAACAGTAATCAAACTCCATATTAACACTTTATATCCTCTTTGGATGTTAAAGGCCTGTACACTTGCATACATAAAATGATACAGATGGCAAATACTATCTTGCAATATATCATTCCACACCTCTTGAACGTGGTGAATGCAGCAAGAGTTGAATGGGGTAACTGAAGGATTCATATGTTGCCCATCATTTTCCATACATGCTCAATAAGGAACAGCACTGGAGATAATAGCAACCATGGAAATTGTCAAAACTTAGAGTATCATATGGATGAGCATTAACAGCACATCACTATTGCAAGAATGGTAAAAGGACAGGTTGAACAATGTTTTGTATAAACTGTTCAACATTCCCTTCACAAACACCTAGATAAAAACTCACCAGTTGAGACATGCACAAGTGTCATAGCAAAAGTGGAATTCTGACTAGTGGCATACATGCCTGTAGCCCTCCTGCAAGTAAATAATTTCTCAGATGTCCATGGGACCACATTTTCTGATCTGTACTGTGGAGACTGTGCATCCCAACACTATTGCTATCAATTTTGGTGAGTACATGTACTACGTGGCCATCCAGAACTTTGTCTACAAGTTTATTTGACCACATTGCCAACACTGAAGCACTACTGACATCACATCCAACATGTGCAGTAAAGTACCAAAAATGATCATCCATCCTATCAAAGGCTCACAATCCAACCACTATCAAATGCTTCTAAACAAAAAAAGAGCGTGTGTGTCTGATATCACTGGATCCTTTACCCAACTGAAGTTCAGAGTATTTGTAACAATTTAAATCTCATAACAAAAGAAAGATGCTTAAGATATTGAAAATCTATCTACTATATTATATATATATATATATATATATATATATATATATATATATATATATATATATATATATATATATATATATATGAGAGAGATTGTACACCCTCCCCACAAAAATCACAATTCTAGTTATCAGTGTATTTACACAATACAGAAACTTATCAACTCCTTCAACTTTACTAGCTATAATTTACTGTTAACTTCAAATAGAAATTAAAATCAAAATTTCCTTAAAACCAAGTTGCTATTTTTCTAATATTCTGATTAATTGATTAGAAATTTACATGAAATATAGGTAATGCACTGATTAGACCTAACTTCAAAATCTGCACACACAATAATACCATTTTAATTACTTACAGATAAGATTTATCACAAAATTTAGATGTCAGTGAAGTATAACATCCAATAACCATTTAGTTTCACCCACAATACAAAGGATAACTAAGCAAATACAAAGAAAAATTAAATTTATCAAGTCTTGTTCAAACTAAATGCTCAAATAAACTCCTTGAACTTGCTACATTCAAGAATGATCAAATTAATCTTTTAAAAAAATAAAAATAAAAAATGGAAAAACTTTAAAAAATGAAGCAATTAGACATCTCTTCGCTGACTATTTTTGGTGCACTAACAATCCCAAAATGATTTTAGAGTGAGGGCCTTAACTGTTCTTAAAATGGCAAATCGCATTTTGTATAGCAACCAACCAATCAATCTCCAGACTGGTTACAAAATTTAATATTCATTGAGACCCTTGATCTACAAGGAAGGTTACTGTTGAATAGGTGACCATGCTATGTTAAGATAAATCTTCAATAAAGTTTAAGGAATGATGATCAACTGCACCAAATAATTGCCTAAATTATAATTCACTCATACATTATACAGATAAATAGTAAGAATCCATGAAGTACGTAATTTTAACAGACTATAACAAAAGGTTCTTAAAATCAGAAGTAGTGTAAATGATTTAATGTCACAATTGTTATGATCATGAAAAAAGATGTTTAATCGAGAAGAGCAAGAGATTGGAGACTGAAAATACCAAGTATCTTAAAGTTTTGAATTAAAATTTCACAAAATTGATAATAAAAAGGTCCTGTAATTACAAACAAATTAGGAACATTTGACAAATTTCATGCTTCATTAATTCTGAACACTGCGTGTTGAATGATTTCTAATTTAGCATATTATTCACATCTTAACCAATGATAACTAATATCAACAATGTATTGAAAATTTGTTCTTCACTTAAATAAAATGGAGATTAATTTCTGTTATAAATAAGATAGTGAAAAATGTTTTTAAAGTTGGAATTTGTCAAATTCAGCCTAAAAGGTAGATAATTTATTGTCAGTACTTCGAGATTTTCTAATTTGAGAAAAACAAAATTCAAGCAAAATGTTAACAGCAATTACTTCCAAAAATATTGGAAGCATATCATGCCTTTTGTATAAAAAAAAAAAAAAAAGTATCAAACGTTAATTTTAATTTAATTACATTTTTTCCAATTACAAGTTTCAATATTTTAAATAAATACTTCTGGAGCTAGACGAGGCCTTAAAAGGGGGGGGCGTAATTTCAGAGAAAAAAAAAAAAAAAGATTTTCAAGATGTTAAAACAAGGAAAAAAACAGACTACAATTTTTCAATTCTGATAATCCTTAACAGAAAAATAGTAAAAAGTTTTTAAAAGTGTCAATCTCTTCATAAAAGATTTTTGCGACGAATGTACTTTAATAATTTATAACGGAAACATGATAAAGAAAGAAAATGTGATAAGTGAACACAAATCCCAACAAATGCTTCGTAATTTGTTTGCATTTACATTGTACGATATCCGTTTCTGAATCGGTGAATATGTAGGAAATATCTCTTTCAATTACGGCAAGTCTCGGTTCTTTTAGTTTATGGTCATGGTGACCTCCTAAAAGTAAAATTACCCAGTAAACTGTACTTTCGGACAAAAATAACTAAATACACAATTCATTTAGTTTCCATAAGTGTTCACTGTTTAAGTGTTAACCATAAAAAAAGAAACCAAGGTCAGATTTTAGTTAGCCTTCAGCTAAATAAGTGGTAGATTAAAAAAATAAAATTAAATTAAAATTAAAAAATGGCGGTAAGAAAGTAACAATAAATACTGGGTAGCAACAAGCATATTGACTCAACAAAAGGATTTTTTCCAACAAGAAAATAAAATCTCGTCTGATTATGCCTTTTAGTTTTAATATTTTAACTAATCAGTTCATTTTATGGGAAAGTCTTATTTTCATAAAATACTACTACCTGTTGAAATTACTTTTGCAATCAAAGAAATCTAAAAATATTATTTTGGTAATATTGAATACTGACAGTCCTTTTAGGATTGAAGCTTTAATTGCAAGAAAAACTTCACGAGTTCGAACATTATTCTTATAGTTAAAATATTCAATTTTTAGCATTCGGCAAGCAAGCCTTTTAGTTTTTGTTTTTACATTTTACGCAATAAATGCTGGTGGTATACAGTAGCCGAAGCACTAACTAAAAACATGCAATAACAAACAGTTAAACACTAGCTTCACTACACCTTAAAAAGGATCAAGTATCAGGTCAGGAATTTAATTTATGTTTGTTTGCCAAAAATATTTTCTAAGTTAAAAAGGAAAGAAATACTTATTTCAAATACGCGATATAAATCAGTTGCAGATTAGAGAGTATTTGTGCTTATTTTCATGACGAAATTTTATCTTTCAGCTTGAGTAAGAAAGCTTGAAAAACAATCTAAAACCTAAAAACTTTGTTCCATCAAGAACACAGAGTTGCACAGTTTACTTTAAGACTTTACATTTTTTAATATTTCAAATAAACATTAGTTTCGTTTTATTTATATTTGGAGGGAACCAGAAAATGATTTTTAACTTCAGTCAACTCAATCTTAAAATGAAAGATTAGTTTTTTTACGAAAAGTAAAAGATTTATTTCGACTTCTGATTACAGTGATTGGGCAAGGGGGAAAATAGTTTCCTGTTCGAGATAAGGGCTTTTAATTATAGACTCTAGCTAAGGCTTACAACTGAAATACAGGATAAGAGATTTTAAAAAGTCAATAAAGTCAGTTGATGCAATCATGAATTGCAACAAAAAGATTAAATTAAAAATAAAACCAACTTACCTGTCTTCAAACGTAACAGTAACCTCATCATCATGAATATTCTTGATGAAAGCCTATAAAAGTAAGTTAATATAAATGAAAATAAACGAATGATCGTTAAAAAAGGAATTAAATTGAGCGATTGCAGAGCATTCACAGTAAGTGGATTACTAATCCCTAAAGATAAAAGATAACGACAAGGGCCTTTTTCCCTCTCGTGCCTGAAAGAGGGACTACAATCAATTTAGGCTAAAGTTTGTTTTTTTTGTTTTTTTTTTAAAGTTTACTGAAAGTTTAACACACATACAGACTCGTAAAATTGTTTTTATTTTATAAAAAAAAAAATAAAAGGCTGAGAGAAGAAAAACACGTAATGATGAAGTGATAATTGTAGGCTAAAAAGAGTTTTAAGTTATGGCTTTTTTTGTGTGTGTGCGTGTATGAAGCACGCACGACTCATGTCATAGCCGGGCAAGGACAGGCGCCCGCCCGGCAGCAGCACACGCTGAATTCACCAATAATAGCAAGTCAATTAGGAGACTGTAATAGATTAAGGAATATACATATAGAAGTGATCAAGAGAAATTAATATTGAAGCAAAAACATCCAAATAATGAGAAAACTGTCAAAGAATACAGAAGAAAATAGATATCGCAAATAAGAACGAGTAACATCAAGAATCATCCGACGGCTACTATCACTACTACTGCTATAACAGTAACACACAACTTATTTTTATCGTGCACGCGGCTAGTGCTAGAACATACAGTTTACGAAATGTTACAATAATTAGTGACAACTAACCAATTAAAATAATATCTAAATATCTAAGTTATTGGCAAATAATAACGGAAATCAAAGTTATAACGAAAATATACCTTATAGAAGGCTCCGTTATTCCAGCATACTTCCACAGCAAGGTCCTCCATCTTTGTTGATGACGCCTTCTGGGAAATATTTTCCTTACTTTTTACAACCTAAATTAAAAAATATCCTATCAACAAAAAAGTATCCAATTATCCTTTTAATATTTTTTTAGCGTTATATTAAGTAGTAATATTTCGAAAATAGATTAAGAAGAAAAAATATTTTTGTCATGACAAATCTCGTCTCAATGAGCAAATTCGTGACTTCAATAACAAAATGGCGGCCTACGATGTGGGCTAATGTTTGTTGAATATTGAGGTCTCGGTGAATGCCACCCACAACGTCATCATGTCCTCTGACAGTGAATTAGAGGAGTTCTTTGATGCCGAAGACCATACTCCAGACCAGAACAATGTGTAAGCTTGTAATACTTAATTTTCTATTTATAACTATTGTTTTCTTAGAAAAGAGAACAATATAGCCGTCAGTAAGTTCCCTTTCCTGGGTGGATTTGACTTAAACGAAAATATTTTGAGAAAAGACTGAACCAGCTAAAATTTATAACTAAAAGATCAGATACAATTATCCTTTCTGAATTTATTACTGTTTTTTATTATGTATGACTACAAGGAGTTATTCACTTAGTAATCTAAATTTTTAAGCGCTTTAAAGTTGACTTTCTCATTTGCACGTAATTAGATGATGACGACGATGATAATCACCTCAAATAAAATTTGGTCATCGCTTGTTTAAGTCGTACGTTCTCACAACTGACTGTTCCACAACAATATATAAACTTCCTTTTATTTTCGTATATATTGGTAATTCCGATCAATCTTATTAAACAAAATTATTTCATGTCGCGAGTATTTGCAGTCAGAGTATCATGTTTTTTATTTTGTTTATGTGGTTTGCGTATCTCTTTGATGTTTGTTTATTTTTGTGTTGTCTCTAACACACCTGTAACTAAAAAATTATATTCTAGAAATTTCTTTTCGTTGACCTTCGATCTTGCCATTGGATATGTATTGTACTGATTTGTGTAATTTGGAACTTTTGACACAAGTTATGCTTGTTTTAATTTGTTGTCAAACTTAATTTGACTTTTAGTGTCAATTTATCGTTGATTTTTTTTTTTAACATTTGCGTGCCATTTATGGAGGAAACGTTTTCCCAGCTGTCTTTGACTGATTTGAGGCGTACTTAAAAATATGTATATATCCACGTTACCGTTCGAAAGGAAATAATAATCTCCCGTTTCTTATGAAACTTTAATTAAAATCAACTAACGGACGTCATATTCATTATTAATATTATTAACCAACAAAAAATTTCAGTTTCTGTTTGTTTTGTTTTTTTATTTCAACTGATGGTTCTATTTTTTAAAATACATTATTGCTTTTTAACTGTTACAACTTCGAAGTTTTAAAAAATATAGATAGAAAAGAAGAAAAAATGCAAGGAAAACTTATTTCATCTCCTTCAACATTAGTTTTTTTGTTTTGTTTTTTTAACTAAGAATTGATATGCTGATAAAAACCAACCAAACAATTTTTTAAACAAAAAATCAATGTAATAAATAACATGAAAATTTAATTCCTTCAATATTATAAACAGTCGTATACAGTACGACTATTTATAAAATTACAGACAATAGAAAACAGTTATTGTTTTTAAAAAAAACTTTTCAAGCTCTCCAATTCTTATCTTACATGATGAAGGTAATTACAAATTACAGCCTTATTTTATTTATTTTTTTTTATAAAATATGTTTTGATCAAAACTGAAAAAAAAATTGTTTTGACTGAATTTAAAAATTTTTTTTAAGAATGAATCCTCCTATTTACACACGCAAAGCATAAAAAGGGAACGCAAACGGTACCGTAAACGAAACCTGACCTTGTTTACAAAAAATATCCTTAACTAGTTTTACTTGCATATACACTCCTGATCAAAGACTTGACCACTTGAAAAAAATTTTTTTTTTTCGTCTTTTTTCATGGGAAAATTTTAAACATTTCTTACTTAAGGTTACTAATTTTATAATTTTTATTATGTACAAAAAGTTATAATCCGAAGATTTTATTGAGAAATTGACATTTTTATGAGGCGTTTTACTTTTACACTTGATCAAATATAAGACCAGAGACAAAAATTCTACGAAATTGTACAAAAACATTCAATAACCAAATTTAATAATGAGTTCTACCTCCACTGGTTTTGATGACTTCAAAAATTCTTTGGGGCATGCTAGAAATTAGTGTTTCCATTAAGCTGCGAGGAATATTGCTCCAGCTTCTGAAGATAGCTTCACGAAGTTCATTTTTTGTTGAATATTGTTTGCCATTTCGATAAACATCTCTTGCCATCCATCCCCAAACATTTTCAATTGGATTCAAGTCCGGTGAGCATGCAGGATGTCTCAAGAGATGGACCCCATTTTCTTGTAGAAAGGTCAAGGTCCGGCATGCAGCATGGATTACAGCATTATCCTGTTGGAATAACCATCCATCCCCACACAAACGATGGCCCTCCATTACCAATGATGCTTTTTGTAGCATGCTAACATAAACCAGCCACTGTCTGACAACTCTGCACCACATGAAACTCCATCATCCCTCTGTAAGAAAAGGCACTCCATACCATTTTGGACCCTTCACCACTATGACGTGTGGAGAAAAATTCAGGAGGCATGTTTTTGTTATGCCAATATCGTTGGAAGCCATCAGCACCATCTAGATTGAATTTTTTCTCATCAGAAAACAGGACTTTCTTCCACTTCTCAATGTCCCATGTTTGGTATTCACGACCAAACCTTAAACGGTTCACTTTGTGACATGGAAGCAGCTGAGGAATTTGTTTGCGCTTTTTATTTACCATGCCTTTTTGTTGTAAGTGTCATCTGATGGTTACTGGACTGCAATCAGCATCTGTGGCTGCCTTAATTTGACTAGAAGAAAGTCCACTGGCTTTCACAACAACCTGTCTTATTCTCCTACTCAATGCCGGAGAAATTTTTTTGGGCCTACCAGTAGACTTTGCGTTTCCATAATTCGCACTGTCCTTTAGAAAGTTGCAAATCACAGTTTTACTGCGATTTACCTTAGCTGCGATTGCCCGCTGTGACAAACCTTGATTATGGAAATCTAGAATTCGAGCACGCTCAACTTCAGTAAGTTTGCTTGCTTTAGGCATGGTGACACCTTTACGCAGTGATTGCTAATCTCTAACTGAATTAAAAACATTGGAATTACCCTAGATCTAACAATTTATACCCCTGGTCTTATAATTTTGATCAAGTGTAAAATGCCTCATTTTATAAAAATGTTTCTGAATAAATTGATTGGATTATAACTTTTTGTCTACATAACCTTTTAGGTTATAGAATTAGTAACCTTTTAATAAATTAGAAAAAGTAAAGTTTATAATGTATCCATGACAAACAGTCTCTTATAAAAAAAAATTTTCAAGTGGTCTTAAATTTTGATCAGGAGTGTAATTGACGTCAGGTTGGCTTTTAATTTAAAATCTGCCTCCAGTTCAACAAAATGTTACTTAAAAAAAATAAAAAGCTTGTCAAGAGAAGCACCTACCTTTCATTTCCAATGTTTATGTTTTTTATACAAAGTAAAAATTTTATTATTCTACTAATGAATTCATAAGAAATTGTTATTCTGAAAACAGTTGTTATTTTATTTATTTTTTTTTTTTTTCAATAATCATATTCCAATGTTAAAAAAAAATTCTTGGTTATTTCATAGTTAAAGAAAGTGTAAAGTAATAAATGTTAAAAATTATTTTTAAAAGAAAGCTAACTAAATTTGCATAATTTCTTAGAATTAGCTTGTTACTTTTCCCACCAATACCTGTTTAAGAAAAGTTTCAATTTATTCAGATTGTGATATTTTGCAAGACTGGTTCAGTTTTGGGCCAATTTTTGATACTTGTGGGGGTACATTTTTATTTTAAAGATTTTATTAGTAATATTTATTTTTTTTTTTTTTTATTTATTTATTTTTTTTTTTAAATAATTTAGAATTAGATTGAATATACGGTTGATTGATAATTATTACTCTTCTTGAATCTTTATTATTAATTTGAAAGGAAGTGATTATTCTAAGATTCTCACTTACTACAAAAAAAATTTTTATTTTAACCTGAGCTTTTTCAAATGTGTGTTTTGCCTTTCATATACGTTAATGTTTGTGTTTAGGTAGATCATGGCTTTTTTTAGTTTAATCAAACTTATGTAATACAATCTTGGTTTCTTTTAAGTGTTTTTTTTTTTTTTTTTTTTTTTACCCAAGAAGAATGTTTCAGCAAATGTGTATATAAAAAAAAAAAAAAAAGCATTATTTAAAATTGTTTCATATGGATTTTTTCCTATATTAATGTACTTGATAGAGAAGTGAATATTTTCTGACCATTACTTGTGTAAGAATCCTATGATTCTTGTAGTTGAAATTTTTTGATGTTCAATGGTGCTTTTTTAGAGGCAGAATAAACAAAAAAACAAAAGCTATAGGATTTTAAACTTTGTGCTTTTATCCTTAGGTACCTCCATGAGAACTAGTAAAATAACATAAATTTTTAGCACACTTTTTTTTTTCTTTTTTTTTTTTCATGACAGACAGTAATTTGGAAAATCTTGCAAAAATAATAATTGTCAGATGTTAATGAAATTTTCAGAAACTATTCACAAATGATAGAAATTATTATAAGTGTTTTCTTTTTTTTTTTTTAAAGTCATGGAAAAAAATTTTTTATATGTTTATTACCCCCACCCCTAACTAATTTTATGAAAACTCTAGAAATTCAGTCGTATTCAGTTTAGTGATTATATTAGTTAAAAGCACAGGGCTTTGAGGAAAACAAATCATGTATTTTTCTTTTTAATTGGGACACCCACCCACTCACCTGAAAATCAGCTCTGAATTGTAACAGACAAAACTCGATAAAACAAAGATATTATTTAATTTCAAATGCTTTTATGAATATGGACAATATTTTCTGAAAGCAAAAAATTTTTCAATGAAAAATGAATTTTTAATACAATTAATTA